GAACAAAGGTCAAACAGAAACACACAAATTAAGGAATTAACCCACCCAGAAAAAAAAAAGTCACTTAGGTATTATGGAGTAAAGATTGCGATAAGCTGTTTTTGAATGAACTAAGACTCTGGTGAAAAATATCGATCAACGTAAAATTATGAGAAAGTTTATTAAATGAGAGGGCAAGACGATGTATAAAACCATTTTTAGTGCAATTGACTCTGTTAAAGGGAACCAAAAATAGGTCATTGCGACGAGAGCCGGGTCTATTGATCTTGAGAGGAAATAAGGAACATAAAGTAGTCATCCATCATCGTGTTGACACCATCAATCTTTTCGAAGAGTCAATGTATGCGATGATGATATGCTTCGGGTTTAAACCAAATGGTAAGCGGCGATAGATGTACCTGCCAAATGGCCTGATAAAGCAGGTTAATTTAGAGCTCCCTTCATCTAACTTAATCTGCCAGAAGCCAGACGAGGCATCTAGCTTGCTGAACACTTTTGCTCCTCCGAACTCTGCCATGATCTCTTCTTCTCGTGATGGCAACTTGAAGTGTTCCCGTTTTATCGCACGAATAAGATCCATTGGATCGAGGCATACCTGTATGTCACTAATCTTCTTCCAGACAGTTACTAAGCTGCTCACCCAGTCAGTTGGTCCTTCTTGCTTTTGAATGACGTCAAGTTTTTCCATTCCAAACTCCATTTTCACATTTTCTTTTAATTTGAATGGAATCTTCCTACATGCATGTTGCACTGGTGCTACTGACATGTCAACATGTATCGTATGTGCTGTTGGTAAGCATCCTAGACCTGAGAACACATCTTTGTATTTGTCCACTATCCTGTACGTTTGTATGCTACCAACAGTTTCAATATTCCATGCTGCTTTAATTAGCTGCAATTGGTGACACGCCTTCAGACCCAAAACAGACTGATACTGCTTAGATAATTGCATATTGGCTTTGGTCACCAGAAATGGAAGGTTTGTGCTCCTTCACTTATACTTTACTTCTATTGAGCAACTACCCTTAATTGCTATAACGGTTCCTGGATATCCTCGTATTTTTACTTCTGATCTGTTAAGTTGCGGCTTTACTGTCATACTTTTGTAGATGCTTGCTGGAAGGTTATTTACTTGTGCTCCTGTGTCCAACTTGAATGACACTTCTACACCGCCAACTTTAATTGGGAGAATCCATTCGGACTCCTCATTTTTTGAAGTTAAGGTATCCACAAAGAATTCCTCTTGTTCAGATGTCTCAGTCACCTCATGCACTTTCTTTGAGCGAAGCATTTTGTCCAGTGGTTCCTTCCCTGTCACTTGCTACATATTGTGCCCTATGCCGGACATGACCTGTATTAATGTTTTGTACCACATCGTTGACAAGTATTAGGTAAGTCTTTCTTTTGAGAAGCTTGTTTACGCCCTTTCCCGTTTTTTGGGACACGTCTATGATCACGATGCATAGCATATATGGTTACATCAGAACTAATTGCGCTGAAACTTTCCTGAGATGTCTCATACGTTTGCCTTATTTTTATGGCTGTATCTAATGTGAGATCGTCACCTTCTTCTAAGCACTTCTCTCTTACACGATCATGTTTTGCTCTTAAGACAATAGCATCTCTTAGCATCCTGTCTTCTTCCGCAAACCCACATGCTTTAACCAAAACCCTCAAGTCTGTAACGAAATTTTCAAATTTTTCATTGGACTTTTGACTTCTGGTATTAAACTCAACAGTCGCTCTAATTTCGTTACGTTTAGGCTTGGTGTAAGCCTCAAATTTCCCGAATACACCTTCCAGTGTATCATTTTCGGCTGGCTGCGCTGGGTTATTTCCTGCAGCTGGCACAGCTGGGTTCCAGCTAAACGTTGAATAAATTTCACGACGTTTGTCGCCAATATAGGTCATCAGATAGTTGACCCTTTGGACCTCTGTTTTCTCGGACAAGGGCCCTTTAAATGTAAATTCACAGTGCTTTTTGAACCTATGAAATTCCTTTGACAGATTTGAACTGCTCCAGTTCATGACAGGTTTATCACCTGACCGTGCACTAGCCATTTTTGTTTAAAATTTATTTTAAACACAAATCTAGATAATAGGCCAATCTACCTGAACAGCTACGAATTGTAAACATCAGTATTTATTACACAGGTTTCCCAGTGACTAGGTAGGTCGCTTGTGAAGCAGTCGTACCAACTACTGTACCACAGTACCAACTACGTTAGCTAGACTGCGATAGGGCGAACCATTCATCAGCACTTGCCCACAACAGTAACCTAGGCCTAGCACTTTTCTAGCCTGTGAAAAACTGACTTACTTTCTGCCTGCTGTATCGGATGCCTATCGTCTTGTAACACTTCTGAATGGCTTCTTGAGCTTACTTGTTACTTCTGACACCATGTGTTGATCCTTATTATACACAAGAAATAAGTGATCGTGACACACAAGTTAACATTCAACAGTTTGTTTTATTCAATACTGTCTGTACGCCATGTTATGTGTATGTGTGTATCGTTACTACGTTATTGTACTATAGGTGGAGCTATGAATGTATAATCAAGTATCACTAAAGAAACAGTTTCATCGAATGCACTTACAGTTAGCACAGTATGCACCTTACCAATTGTACCATTCCAAGTTAAATGGGGTTCTAACACAGTACAGTGCAACGCTTTTTGGATTCGGGCAGTAATGTGTCGTTCTGCACCGAGGAATTGGCTGACTTACTGCAAGCATCTGGGAATCCGATCAAGCTGAAGTTAAACACCATGGGTAACCAGGTAGAAATGAACTCCAAGTCGATTAAGGGATTAATAGTGTCAGCACTTCATGATGAGGAAAATATGGAAGTAGAACTCCCAATTGTATACACTAAGCCCAGTCTAACAGTGCAGAATTTCCTGATTGGAAACAATGTACCAGCAGCATATGCCCCAAGAGAAGTGAGGACAAGAGGGAGTCGGCCACTGAAGACAGGAAATTTTGAGAATTATGGAAAATTCCTGTAAGATCGTCGAAGGTCATTATCATGTGGACTTGCCATTAAGGAATCCAGCAGTCTAGCTTCTGGACAACTTGCAAATGGCGAATAATCGACTACGGGGACTCCAGAAGAAAATGGAGAAGAATCCACAGTTCAAAGAAGACTACATCGCCTTTATGGAAGATATAATTGGTAAGGACTACGCGGAAGTAGTATCTAATGGCGACAATACAAAGGGGGGCCAATCGTGGTATATTCCTCACCATGGGGTGTATCACTCTCAGAAAAGGAAGATTAGCGTGGCATTTGACTGTGCGGCAAAGTTTATGAAAACTTCCCTGAATGACGTACTGCTACAGGGTCCTAATCTTATGAACAGCCTACAGGGTGTTTTAATGCGCTTCCGTTAACATTCAGCGGCAGTCTCAGGAGACAAAGGGGACTTCAGTCATCAACCCAAGATATTCAGAATGACAGTACACTTGTTCGGTGCTGGATCTTCGCCATCGTGTGCCAATTATGGGTTGCAGAAAACCGCAACAGACATAAAGTGTGAGGTTAGCATAAAGGCTGTAGAAACGGTATAACGGGATTTCTATATAGATAACGTATTGAAATCCGTAGAAACCATAGAAGAAGCCAAGGATTTTGTCAATGAATTGAAAACCTTGTGTAATGAAGGAGGCTTCAATCTCACAAATGGACGAGTAATCGTCGAGAAGTGTTGGTAATTATCCTGTAGAAGAGCGAGCAAAGAAACTGAGGGATTTGGATTTAGATGCCTCACCACTACCAATGGAAAGAATGTTAGGCATCCTTTGGAGTCCAGAAGTTGATGAATTCCAGTTTCGGAGTTTGCTAACGGAGACTGAAGCAACCCGGAGAGTCAGTTATCAGTTCAGTTTATGATCCTCTTGGATTTATCTCACCCCTGATCATACCAGCAAAAATGCTTTTGCAGGAGATGTGTCAGAAGAAGGCTGAATGGGATGACAAACCAGATAACACCACCTTAGATAAATGGAAACGGTGGACCCAGAACATAAAGGACATACAAGAAGTTAAAATTGATAGGTGTTATGTTCCAGGAGGATATGGAAAGGTGGCAAGTAGAGAATTACATGCATTCAGTGATGCTAGTGAGGTGGGTTTTGGGGTTGTTATATATCTCAGATCCACAAATGAGAGAGGAGAAGTGCATGTATCCCTTGTGTCCTCAAATGCCGGAGTGGTACCTCTGAAAAAGGTAACCATACCCAGATTGGAATTGACGGCAGCCATTCTGGCAGTCAAGATGGTGCATGTAGGGACAAGAGAACTGTACTTTGACATAGCGAGAACCATGTATTGGACCCATAGCACAGCCGTCTTGAGATATATCGCCAATGTGCAAGCAATGTATCTGACGTTTGTAGCCAATTGGGTACAACTTATCAGAGAAGCAACCAGTCTATCCCATTGGCATCATGTGAGCACAAGGGAGAATCCAGCACATATGACTTCCAGAGGCGTTAAGAGAACACAAGACTTGATGAATGGCATCTGGTTCAAGGGACCAGATTTCTTGTGGCAATCAGAATCAGAGTGCCGAGAGATGTGTTAATAGACTTAGACTTGGTGGATGTGGAAATGAAATCAAGCTGCACCATAGTAGAGGCTAGAAATAAATCAGTGGTTGACATGTTCGTGTCCAAAATCTCAAATTGGAAGAAGATGAAAAGAGTGATGGCTTGGGTTTTGATTGCTAAACAGAAGTTCTTGACCAAGATTCGACCGAACGCAGGGGTTGTTACCAGCAGAAGTTGCGTTGTACAAGATCCTGGACAACTGACAGTAGAATTATTAAATAGAGCCGAAGATTTTATTTTGAAGGAAGTGCAATCTAATGCCTTAGAAAGAGAGATTAAGGAGCTTGAGGCTGGAAATAATGTGAGCAAGACCAGCGTATTGTTCAAATTCAACCCTATAATAGGTGAGGGTGGATTGGCAAGAGTTGGAGGAAGAATAAGCATGGCAGACGTGGCGTATGAGGCAAAGAATCCTGTGTCCCAAGAATGCAAGTGTGGCAGAGATGATCGTGAGAGAGATTCATAAAGATGTTGGACATCTCGGGAAGATCACCATTCTGGCAAGACTCAGAGAGTGGTACTGGCTTTTTGGAGCGAATAGGATAGCAAAGAAGGTCGCCAGAGAATGTGTAACATGCAAGTGTTATCAGGTTAAGCAATGTGAACAAGTGATGGCAGCTTTGCCTTCTAATAGAGTCCAGGCAGATGGAGAACCTTTTAAACATGTTGGCGTGGACTATTTTGGTCCGTTGATGGTAAAGAGAGGCAGATCAGAGGTCAAACGATACGGAGTAATTTTTACCTGCCTGTCGTCTCGAGTCGTCCATCTTGAGGTAGCGTATAGCCTGGACACTGATTCATGCATTAATTCAATCAGAAGATTTATGACAAGAAGGAGGACCTGTGCTAACCATTACATCCGACAATGCAACCAATCTGGTTGGCGCAGAGAAGGAATTGAGAGCGATGTGGAAGATGATTGAGCAAGCAAAGATGAAGGGTGTACTCAATAATGTTGGGATTGTTTGGATCCTTAATCCACCAACAGCATCCCATTTTGGTGGAGTGTAAGAGAGAATGATTAGGTCAACTAGGAAGACCCTATACAGCATCATGAGAGATGAAGCACGTTTACTTGATGATGAGGCGCTAGTAATCTTCTTTTGCGAAGCGGAGGGTATACTCAACAGTCGACCTTTTACAACGACATCTACGGTTCTAGGGGATATGTTGCCTTTAACTCCCAATATGCTGATAAACCCCAGAGGAAGAGTTCTCCATTCACCAGGAGTGTTTGTGAGTAGGGATGCATATGCCAGGAAACGTTCTAGACATATACAGCACTTGGTGGTTTTTTTCTGGTCTAGATGGAGGAAGGAGTATTTGGTAACCCTCCAACGGAGAGAGAAATGGCAGCGCCAGAGAAATGTAACAGCTGGTGACATAGTATTGATTGTAGACTCATCAGCTCCTAGGAACCATTGGGTTCCTAGGAGCTCGTGTTCGATCGTGTATGGTGAGGACGTAATCAGCGCTACTGGAGAGACCGGTGTCTAAACTATGTATTCTGGTGGAAAACAATTAGGACACAGCATTTGAGGTGAATTTGTTATAATGTATGTTTAATTGCTTAGTTTATAGGGTGGGAGTGTTGATGAAAAGTTCACTTCCTAATCATTATTTACGTCTGTCGCCCTCTTTAGTTTAGCTGTGTAAGAAAGTTTTACAATATGGCTGTTAAACGTCAGGCTATACTTTGATGAAATACCAAGTATTATTGTGCTTCAGAAGGTGTTTCTCGGTATGCTTAGAAAGATAGTAAAGAATGATTCATGTATCATTTTATTAGGCAGCATTATTAAGGCTGTATTTCGAATAGTTCTAAACCTATTATTGCATTTATGTGAGTGCTCGGCCTTCACGCTTGAGTGAGCAGGTGTTTTCTATCTGCTTAGGCTAGCCTATTATAGTACACGTCATTCGTTTAAAGTTTTGAGATGTTCATTGTTATTAAAATTTGTTTAGGTTTCGGGGTTTGTTGTCATAAGATATTTAGGATGTTTCCAGAAGTAAATGCTATGACTACATAGATGTTCAATGTAGCTGTTGAGTTGCACAGAGATTAGGGATCAACTGTACGGTAAATAAACTTCATTTGTAGATTGAATATTGGTAAAATTAATAATATAATGTAGTCAACAATCCTTTAATAATTATAAAGTTCTTTGTTATTTAGAACATATACGGTACAGGCTGTACTCTGCATGAAGCGTCATTATGTTAATGTTTATCACTATTTATTACCGTATGTTATATCTGATATGCCTTATTAGATGAGTTTAATTTTGATTGATTTACAGTTAATCGTCACTTGTATCAGTGTCAACCGTCACAGATGTGTGGTTGCGCATACACCTGAACTAAGGATAAGAGTATGCGTTGATATTCTGTCATCAGTTCCGAAGTTTTTAAGACGCATTAAACAAAACTCAAAATATCTCTGCTGCTTTCTTGTTTGTTTGATTTATTGACTTAATAAGCACAAATACTGTAAGTACTGCCAAGGAACTCTTTAGTACAATAGGTCTAGGGCCTAGCTCATTTTCAATGTTCAGATTATAGATTATTTTAATTATTAGGTACATATTTGTTTGATAATTCAGAGTTGTTGGTACATTAGAATATTGAATAAATAGTTGTCATTTCACTTAGACATAAGAGATGGAAATAATCACATGCAGGAAATAATTATGGTTTGACAATAATTAGGTAGCTCTGTAACACAAAAAGGCCTACGTAGTAGTAGCATTAAAAATAGCGAAAATAATAACACATCAAGACATCTTTCTTCATATAAAAGTTACTTGAAAACCATGCAAAAACCAGGTCAGTCCTTGCCATATTTTATGGGTGATTAAGAAAAAGAAGATAAAAAATACCTCGTTAAACTCGACAAATTTAAAAAAAAATTGCTACACTTGCTCCAATATGCTATATACGATGGAACAACGATTGGTTTCAATGTACCACGCACTTGATGAAGGAATACATGTGAATCATGTGTATCATAAATCTTCGATTGAGAGGACACTTTTTAAACTTTCCGCTCAACAATAAACTTTCTGAAGACAGTACAACGAAACAAAAAGGCACGTAAAACAGAAAATAAACCAAGCTAGCCCTAGATTATTTTATATACTTATGCGTAATCTAACAAATAAGAAAGCTTATCACACAGGGTACTTGTTGTTTTACCTTCATCAGATAACTTCGATATGTTATAGAGGGTAGTACATAACAAGAATGACGCGTCCATTATTTTCCCATAATGTATACATATTTTATTATAAACAGGTGTAATACTGCAAGATACCACTATTAATGACAATAAGTATGGAAATTAAATGTACTGTCTTTGTTATTTTACGTGCAAAGTAATACTATACGTACTGAAATATTGTATACATTTTTTCTGTCTCATTTTAATTACTAACCTCCCCATACTATAATGCAGAGACTCGATTTTCTAACCCTAACCCTAACCTTAAGAAAGTACCTTGACTTAATATTTCTTTTCAAAAGTTTAAATGAATATATTACATGTGACTTAATTTCTTTATTAGTTTTAAGTTCCCAATCGCAGGCAGGATATTCGATGTTTCCTTTTCTAAAGTTAATTTGCAAAAATGAATTTGTTAATCCTACATCACCATTTTATAATGACTTTGTTAATGCTCAATCAAAAGTGAAGTAATTAATTTACAGTTCTTAGGTGGCTTGCCTCCGGTTACATTTCCGAGTAATTGATTTCATTTTCATTTCAAAATGTATATGCCATCATTTTTATTATCTCGTTTTTGTTTTCTCTTTTGGAATAGTAAGTGTGCTGCAAAAATTTCCTTTCCATGTTTTTCGTTCTGTATTGTTGTATGTTTATGTTTTTGCAATCCTGTAAGTGGTAATTCTTGCTTTTGCTGTTGGTATATATTTCATAAATACCTAAATACTCACATATTTTACTTGTAAATTTTATAAAGGGGACACTGGATAGTGATTTTGCAATCAAAATATTAGATTACAAAGAATACAAAACCACTGGTTCATGTAATATCGGCATATTGCTTTCACAGCAGAGCGGACCGATAACACCGGCACAGGAAGATGTACTGGCGCTTATTGCGCACGCAAACTTTGAGCTGAGCATTTTCAGACGTGAACTTTAAAATCTGATCAGAACCCAACATTTATTACTCTTTGTAAACCTACAGTGCCCATAAAACCCTACTTTTTGGAGATGACTTGAGGAAAAGCTAAACGAAATGACAGAGGAACAAAAGGCAACTACTTTAACAAAATTTCAAACGATCAGACCCGGGGCATATCGGGGAAGAGGAACCTATAGATACCAACCATATGGTAGAACAGTAGGCCTACCAATACTGTTGCGTGGTAGAGCCACCTTTTTGGGGAGGGAGAGCCAGCTATCCCAGAAGAGGGAGCTACAACCAAAGAAAGACTTGCCCTCCAGCCACCAAGACCAAGCCAGAAACACAGAACAAATAGGCCTAAATGTTCATGATGAGATAAGCAAAGCTAATAAAGTAGGATTTTTATTTACAGGTGGTCAGTTAAAATCAAGGTTCAAAAACTGGACAAACTATACCTCAGATTCTGTAATACTGGATACAATTAAAGGTTACAAACTTGAGTTTGTAAATGGTTGTTGCCTAATACAGTCTGCAATTCCAAGACCATATAAATTGCAGCCTGCTGAAGTTAAAGCAGTGAGCAAAGAAATTCAGTCACTGTTGATTAAAAAGGTCATAGATCCAGCGGTAACTGAAGAGGGGGAATATATATCTAATTGTCATAGTTAAAAATGTATTTCCTTTATGTTACTGTACTGTTAAGCATGAAGTAAAGTGTAACAGACACATGCACCGAAGAGTATAGATGCAGGTAAAGGTATGAGCCATATATGTAAACGTAACGACGTATATGCTGCAATAAACTAACGTATGCAATAAACTAATTA